CTGACACTGTTAAGACCAAATACCAAATGGGAGAATTCACCTGATTCGACGCGAAGAACGTTTTGATTTCACTATATAAGAAAGGAACATGGTGAGAATCGTAGGAACCGACTGAGTCATTATATACATCTCGGATGGATGTGATAGCTAGAAAGACGGAGGGATGTTCTCTATAATATCGGCAACATGTATCGGTTGGTGTGGCTCTGGCTCAGCCCTTGCCTATGTATTTGCGAGTCAGAAAATGAACCAGTGACAAATTCTTTTTAAGAACTACACAAAGCCTATGATCCAGAATTCCTTGCGCATTTTACCTTCACAGCAGAGCCGTATCATGAAGGCTTATTTTACAAGAAAGTTTAGGATTATTGATAGTATAATTTTGACTTGTATATTGGCTTTGTATAGAGGTAAACTGCGGTGATGGAAGAACAGCTAATAAAAGCCGATAAGGGACATCATGAAAAAAAGTGACACAAACATCGATAAGCTTGCTCAATACCGTCTTGGGCAACGTAAAAGTTGGTAATAGCAGTAGAAAGGGACCTTCAAAACCTTTCATAATGATGGAAAAAATGGTAGCAACTGTTGTTTCAAGAAGCATGGGAAAGCATGGCTATAGTTAAGGGCGCAGAAAATCGACATGACGGTCGTCAAATAACAGAGCAATGCTCGGGCAAGATGAGTTTTCGGTTGTTGTTACATAGCGTGTTTACAAACAACACAGCTCGAAATTTCAAATTCACAGAGAGAGACGGATATAGGGAGCCGGAATATGGCGTTTCGAAGTGTTTGAGTTAAGAAAACCAGAGTGCTGCCGTTTTAGCCAGGTATGAAAGAGCAGTTGAAGTGGATATGCGTGTCAAAAAATTCAAAATTGCAAGAGCAGTCATCAAAACCACTTGTAGCCAAACGAACAAGAAGAGCTCCTGGCCTGTTGATCAAAACGCTTCCTTGAACACTGAGCAAAGGAAAAATCGCTCGACTATCACCAAAACGTTGAAGGATCTACGGGACAAAGCAAACTCGCGCCACGAATAGATGGACAGTTCAATAGCGCTTGTTAGAAGTAAACGCTGATCAGTGGTATGTAAAATACTATTGAAAATGATAGCACCTTATTGAAAACCAGTGTCGAAGTACTGCCATTACAGTACAGTAGAGATCACAATTTGAATCATCCACCTCACTTCATATTACTCACTTCACTCCGCAGTGCTCACTTTACTCCATTAGCCTACCCACAAAGTGACTGNGACAAACCGACATACCGACAAACCGACAAACCAAGTTACTGCTTTATATATAAGAAGGATGATAGCACCTAACCCATCAATAGTAAAGCTTACTGAACAAGGTAGATTGAATGTTAATAGATTTATACCAACAGCTTCTTTCTTATGTCCGCCTGCTCTAAAAGTGCCACACCAGTTTTTGTTCGAGTCGGATGAATTGCTTGAGTTCGAGATCATAGATGAATAAAAGCAAAAGAAGGAGCGGAAAAGAAAAGTAGAGAAGGGGTCAGATTAAGGAAACCTCACTCACTTGAACTTCTGTGAAAGACTCGTAATGTTCATGGAAAACTTCGAGGACCTTAGCAGAAATCAGACTTGAATATGATGAAGAGTCCTCCTGTGATTCCGATTTATTGACCATCTGAAAACGATCTGAATTGGGAAGTTGACGTGAAAACTCTTCAACAACAGAAAAAACGAAATCGCACTACATATAATTAAAAGTCGGTGGAGTGTTCAAAAATAGGCATGATCGCACAGTATACGAATCAGACACACAATACTTGATTCTGATGATGGTTAATGACGATTATTCCCTCTTAGTAGACAAGCCATCTTACTTTTTAAATAACGACTTTGCTTTTCACGCAAGGAAGACGAAGATCAGGGGAAAGGAAAAAGACTTTTGAATATCAGGAAACAGAACATTTCAATCAGTGAGAAATTCCTTTTTGGGTCCCTAAGTCCACATTCGTTAAGAAATCTTTGAAGCTGCCAAATCATCTGGATATTTTTTGCTCTTACATTATCATGATTTGTGAAAACGATCCTTTGACCAGCACGACCCCGACGATGAAGTTTGCCGGTGTAAAACCCGAATGGGATGACTTTAGCCGGCTGATATATGACCCTTCGAGGTTTCATTAGACTTTGTTCCTGCTGTGTACTGAACGATATTGCTCCATATCGTCGGCTGTTTCCCAAAAACTTGCGGAAAATCTCAAAGCGGAACTGGCCCATTTCCAAAATTTGGACCAAACCATCACCAGTTGAGACAAAGAAATTAAAAGCAGCAGAAGAATGTCGTTATTACAAAGTCTTGGGAAGGAAACGATTTGCCAAAGTTACGACAAGAGGACCTTCTGTGGTAGCGAAGCTAGACGCAGTTTTTGAAGAAGTAGAGTNAGTAGAGTGTGTCAAGAAGAAATTCTTTTCAGGGATTTCAGAACTATTCGAAGATTTCTTCACCGCCTCAACTCGCATACTGTTTTGATTGACTAATTAGGTCGCCAAATTGTTAAAAAGTCAAGGCGCCAGAGGAGTTGGAAAAAGGCTCAAAAAACTAAGTTCTAACATTTGGTATCGACTGGTATTCACTTGTGGTGTGATCGATCAGATGATCACGTCTAGCTTTCTTTTGCAGTACATCTAACAAATTAGAAAGGAAGAAAGTAATGGAGTGAGCACTCACCATTGCGATTTTAACCAATACTGACGTGCTTTGCTAACTCATTTTATAACCTGTTCATTCTTTAGTCTTCATTCTTCTTAATCTCGAACAAGTTCGCACTTCCTTTCTTTCAAAACAATATTTTTATGACTACAAGGCTTTTGAAAGGAACGCCCGGAACAACACGGGCACTACTAATGCAACTTAAGGTACAAGAGGGGTTCGAAATAAAAACGGTTACGCAGCTGGGATCCAGCAAGTAGCGGAGCTTCCTTCTTGGCTAGGAACTCCCGGCCGACCTGGGCATAAAACTGACATCCACTGAGGGATTATATCTTCCTTCGCTGAATCTACTGGCACAGCGATTTCACTTGGTTGCTCTACCTTAGTAATCGAGCAGAATTTTGAACGATGCTCTTAGTTTGTTCAACGTAGAAGTGGACTGACGACAACACTACTATCAGGTATCGTCATCCATGATCCGCCTTTTTTGCTTGGATAATACCAGGGGTATAAGTCACTCCTTTGAGGTCAGAAGAGGTGAGAAAATGCCACTGCTCCAAGATCTGATGGTTTCTCGATTAGGGCAGAGAAGCTTACAATTTCCGGTGAGGGCGCAATTTGGGGAACTTGGTTGAGGATTGAAAAATTTGTAAAATGTGACACGACCACGTTGCGCCAGAGAAAAATAAAATCTAGCTCTCGCCATCACTCATGAGAGGAGCCCTCGTAGCCCAAAACTGGTAATGCTGCCGTCATCTTACCGATGCTCA